GTGGCTGTTCTAGTTGCTCTTTCCATCTCCTGAGCTAAGTGTTGTCTATAGAGCTGAGTCCAGAATACGGCTGTTCCCAGAAGTTCTCTCTTGAAGAGAGAAGCAGCTGTAGCATAATAGTCACCAAAGAAAGACTGGTAATGGCATCTGGGGTGGGTAAGCAAAGCAAACTTAATGTCTTACCATTGCTTAATTGTTTGAGCACTTCTGATTCAGCTGAGGATAAACATCTTTTAAATGCAGGTGGTGTATATTTGAATATCCTGACAGATTAACAAGTAACTTCTGAGATCTAAGTATGTCCAGGTTCTGGAGGACATTCAAAACTTCTCTCTTCCATCTCTTTCAGGGCAGTCAGAAAACGGGATGAGCCTTTTGGGGGAATTCAGCTAATCATCTGTGGGGACTTCTTGCAGCTACCTCCAGTTTGCAAGGCTAATGAAGAAACCAAGTTCTGCTTCCAGGTACAAAACTGCCCCTTAACTCGTTCTTATACTTCAAGTCTGTCTCTTTCTTAACCAGAGAATGATTTTTGCAGGCAAAAAGCTGGAGGAAATGTATCCACATAAACATGGAACTGACTGAAGTGCGGCGACAGACTGACAAGACCTTTGTCTCACTCCTGAGTGCAATACGTTTAGGCAGGTGAGGAGAAGCTCATCTCTTTGTAATCTCTGCTCCCCACCTACAGCAGAAGAAAGCAGAATAAAGAGCAGTTTGTCACTTTTCTGAGCCCTATCAGGAATATGTAGCTGGGGGCAAAAGCTATAAAAGCTTTAGTTAATGTAGGCAGATTTCATATATCCTGCTCTGGTAAGGAAGGACACTTTCTAGGGTTCCTCCTTGATTTCTGTGAGTTAATTCAATGGATCCTGAGCTGGCAGTGGCCAGGGCCCTCACACTGGCACTGTTGTCCAACTTTTATATATCTTTCTCTGTCCTCCTCTCTGGAGGCCTGCAGCTTGCACAGACAGATCCAGCTGTGTGAAGGTTACTGCTGCTCAAGACCTGTTCCTGATCACTTTAAAGAATAACTCCCTTTTCCTGGTTACCAGGTGCACAGAGGAGGTTACCAGGCAGCTGATGCAGACAGCTACCAACAGGTCTGAGCGTGATGGGATCCTGGCTACACGGCTCTGCACCCATAAGGATGATGTCGAAATAACTAATGAGAGACGCTTGCAACAGCTGTCAGGTGAACTCCCTGGAGGAAACTGCTGACTCTGGGGCTGAGCTCTGAGTGGATGCAGTGGGGATACTGTGGTGTCAGGAAGAACTAGTGTTCTGTCATGCACAGCAGCACCAGTCAAAGCTCTGTGTGTTGGAGTTCGACTGCCTGGGGAAAAAAATTCAGTTTTTTGGTTAAATATTCAGTGTCACTTCTTGGTGTGTAATAGACAGCAAGCTCATTGATTGCTATGAAACAGGGTTGGTCATTTATTGCCTCCACACCTCTGCTTTTTCTTTCTATAGCATCTTATTAAGGGCTTTCTCAATTTTTGCCTCCCTTTCTGGCAATATTTTCTGGATACTTCCTTTAGTGATCTGATGTTGGCAGCAAATGAAACTAGTCATGTGCTCAAAATGCTGGCTGCTCAGTTCTTATTTACTGCTGGCCTTTGATTCCTGTGCCTTTTCATGCTCTGCAAATTCTGTTGGGAAGAGAGGCAATAGTGAGCTCCCTGTTGTTAGATGTGACAAGGTTTGTGTGAAGATGTCCTAGCAGCAGAGCAGAATGGATATTAAAAGAGGAATTTCTATTAGAAATAAATACTGAGCCTCCTGCCATGCTGTGTATAATGTGTTCAACAGCTGCAATTTGTTATGTCTTTCTTTCCTTAACAGGAGAAGTGCACACATTTGAGGCTCTGGACAGTGACCCAATGCTAGTGAAGTTAATTGATGCTCAGTGTCCTGTGGGTGGTAGAGTTGAGCTGAAACTTGGAGCTCAGGTAAGTATGTGTACATACAGATCAAATGGTATAAGAAAAATAAAGGAATATCAGATAAATATATAGAGTAGATTAATATACAGAATGCAGATTCAATATAGAATGTCTATGCCAGGCCAACAGAAGATTCTATTCCAATCTTTTATATTTTCTCTGCTTGGAATCTTATCGAAACAGAAAATGAGTTTGATTTGAGTGCAGTCCATGTCTTGGGGACAATGATGATTGCTGTGACTTTGACACACTTTTCCAATCAGGTTTAGAAGCTTTCAGTAGCAGAGAGCACAGGCAGCTCATAGCTGTGAACAGAAGCAGCTCAAGTGAAGTGTTCAATGCTGTAAAATAGCTGGGAATCCTAGGAAGGAAAGGCTGTGAAATAATTTCAGTTGGAGATGGTGCTGTCTCCTGTAATAGGCAGGATAGGATGATGTGGTCATATCAGCCTGATGTGCTTATGCTTCCTGGAAAGAAGTTTAGTTGCAGGTGGCTGAACAGGCTGTAAACCCAGTGCACTGAAGGATTTTTCTTTTTCTCTGTAGGTGATGCTAGCAAAGAATCTGGATGTGTCTCAAGGGCTGGTGAACGGGGCACGAGGCGTTGTTGTAGGATTTGAAAGTGAACAGAAGGGTAAGTGAGCTTCTTGATCTCTTGTTGAAGGAAGAGGGGAAAAATAACAAAACGATTTTTCATTGATGGCTGATGACTTCTCAACTTTGTTTACTGTCTGGTAAGAATAATTAGAGGGAAAGCAGGGAGGAGATCTCTGCAGGCTTGGGGCTCTCACCAGCTGTGATGTCATGCACTGCATCAGCTGTAGCTATCTATGGGCCTCTTGTGTTTGCTTTTCTGTGTTGTCTAGATGTGGGTGCTCATTTGCATTTCCTGTTTTCTTTTGTTCAAGCAAGTTTTTGTTTGTTTTTTTCTCAAAGAATAATGTTCTGCTACCTGCAATGTGTATTTTTCTCTGCATCTCAGCTGATAAATTACCTGACTTTAATTCTCCTGCCTTAAGTAGGTGCCAAACATCATTTCAGTGCATGCTATTTACTGTCTGCGGGTTTAGGTTTGGTTTAGGAGGGGGGGAAAAAGTGTTCTTAGGCTGCTGACTTCCTGGCTTTTGAGTGTCAGGAATACATCCCTGTTTCTCTCCTGCTCCCATTCCTACAGGGCTGCCTAAGGTTAGGTTTCTCTGTGGGGTCACACAGGTCATAAGAATGGAGAAATGGGTCTTCAAAGGACCATCAGGAGTTCACCTGAGTCGTCAACAGCTGCCTTTAAAATTGGCATGGGCCATTTCCATTCACAAGAGTCAGGTGGGTGTCCTGATACAGCTGTCTAAAGACTTGCACACCATCATAAGCCTTATTTCCTGGGTGAGCTTGCATTGCTGGTAAAACAGAAGGGAAAGCTGAAAGGCCCTTGTTGGGGGGGGGAACTCCAGAATATGTGTGTTTAACTGCACCTCTTCTGCTCATGATGCCTGCCTATAGGGTCACAGATGGACTAGATACACTGCTGGAGTTTCCATGGGGTGCTGCCATCTGCATAGTTGGTGTTGGACTATAAAGCAGCATTATTTACCACTGTGGGCTGATGAGAGCAGTGTTTCCTTGAGAGTCATCAGCACTAGAGACCCTGAGGTTTGCAGTATAACTGAGGCAGCTGTCAGAGCCAGAGCTGTGCTCTTTGGGCTGGACTCGCTCTTTGGTGGTGTGTGTTTGGTTTTTTTCAATGTAACAGTGTAACTTTCTCAAAGTTCCTTCCCTTCCAGAAGACTTCATACACTTTGATAAATACTGGTCTTGGAAACCTGTGAGTTTGTTCCCATGCCACTGCTTTTTGTTCCTGTGCCACTGTTTAAACCAGGGCAGGCTGTAAATTCTGCTGTGCCCAGGACAGCCCTGCAGACAGGCCTAACCCAACTCTCTGATCTGCCTGAGGACTGCTTGAGAATGGTGACTGCTCTAGTTAACTACTAGGAGTGAAACCAGCAGGATTTCTTTCCCTGCTGTGTTGATTAGATGGGATTTATGGAGTTTCATGCAACAAGAGGTTCTCTGGAGTTAGTTAGTGGATTCTACTATCTGCTAGCAATTTACTGACAGTAGGAAACTGCCTTTCCTTTCTGATTCTCATCTTTTAATCAGTTACACAGTAAAACAAAAGACTTCTTTGTTTTTTTCTTTTTTTTTTAATCAAGCCCCTACACCAAGAACGGTACCTTTGACAGACTCACAGGTTAGTGTTGGTACAGCACAGTGTTCTTGTTTGCTTGTTCTGTAACAAAGTTCTCTGTGTCTTTGGCAGGGCATGTCTTTAGACTGTGTGGAAATCTCCCTGTCTCGTGTCTTTGAAAGTGGGCAGGCTTACGTAGCCCTCTCCCGAGCCCGCAGCCTTGCAGGGCTCCGTGTTCTGGATTTTGACCCAAAAGTAGTGAGAGCTGATCCTTCTGTGCTGCAGTTCTATAGACAGCTGAGGCGTCATCAGCTTTTAACCCAGGTAAAGAAAAACCTCATGCTAGCAAAGCCTGCTTTGTGCTACCAAGATGAGAGATGTTGGCCCTGAGATGCTTCTTTTTCTTCCTAAGCAAGACCATTCAAATTAAAACTTGTAGTGGCAGGAGAGATGAAACTGCAGAGAGAGCATGTGGCAGGGCAGCTCTTGGTGGTAAAATAGCTACAGTAGTTTTGGGATTGTATAAAACTACCTGGCCCTGTGGGTGAAAGGATAGGTTGGGATTCTTTGGTCTTCCTCTTGCAGTAAGGAATGAAGGGGAAGTGGGCACAAAAGAAATCTGTTCCATTTTTTTCTTTGTTTATGTCTTCTTTCTCCCCAAAGGATTCACTACACACCTATTCAGATGCTGATGAGAAGGAGAATGTGAAATGCAGCTGATAATGTTCTCCTGGTTTCTGTGAAGTGTCAGCACAGACAGCTGAGATGCAGTGATCTTGCTATTGAGTATATTTGATAACACAGGTAAAGTCAAAGGAATTTTTTTAGCTGTTTGCTTCACTCAGCTGACTCTGGATATATAGAAGTACCCCCACCTTGTGCCTCTGGAATTTGGAAGGCTTCTGCAGCCCCCTTCTGAGCCCACAGACCTAAGTAAGCACTTCTGTGTCACAGATGGAACTCTAGCAAACAAAATGACTGAACAAGGATGTTCCTGAAGGACTTTTCTATGGTTCTATCCTGCCTGCCTAGTTGCATTTAATCCTCCACATATATAGAGTGAAACTTGTGTCCCTTTCTTCAAGTATACCACTGTTGTGAGATGGAAGGTGTCTGGATGGATTGGACCTGTTCACAGGAGCTGCTGACACAAGGGAGAGCACTGCTAAGTATCTGGAATACATACTTGATTCTTCTGCAAGCAAGGAGCTGGGCTATTACTTTACAGCATGCTGAGGTGTTCCAGATGCTTGACACCAGGAGGCTTTGCAAAACTTCCTCCACAAGCAGAACTGCCAGTTACATATTGCTTGTTATGCTGATATGTAGCATTTTTATTAGTCTGTTGCATAAGATGTGATTTTTATTTTTTTAACCCTCTGAGATGAACTGGCACTGTTTAAAGACAGGAGGAATTCCTACATCTTATACCTGTAATTATGAAACTACAAGAATTGTGAAGTTCTGTTACTCCACTAGGGAGAAGATGGGTACTGGTGAGAGTTCCTCTTGTTTAAACATGAGGCTTGCTCAAATGAAAGTTGCTCCTGGAAAAAACCTGTCTGACTAATAAGGTGGCAGTTTAGTGTGAAATAGGGAATAATGGCTATGGACATGTGAAGTGAGCTGTAATGTCACCTGTTTCAGCAAAAGCAGAGATAAGCAGAAGTAATATACTGTCTTAATTAAGGAAAAGCTTTGGTCTTTGTATTTTAGCACTTTGTTTAAAGCTTAAGTGACTTGTATATTTTAAAATGTTTAACATCTTAAAACATGGCATAACATTCAGCTGGAACTCATCTCTTGCAGGGTTATGTCTCTAACAAAACCTCTGCTGTGTGAGTGAGCTGAAGGTCACTTCTTGGCAGCTGCTCTCCTTAAAGCCAGGAAAGGATGTTGATTAGCCAGTGATTATTATAGCAGAGAACAGTTTTAATAGGATTTCAAAATGCATATTTTAAGTGGGGGTTGAGGTTTTTTTCTGGGCTTGAAAGGTAGAGTTTTGGAGGGAGTCATAGTAGAAGGCAGAAGTGTGACTATTATTCAGAGGGGCTCTTAATGTATCAGCACATTGTTTCTTCAAAGAAGTCTGGTGGGGAGTGGATGAAGTAGCTGGAGCCTGTGGAAGACAAGCCCTTTCCCCCTCACACTGCAAGCTGTAAACTTTTTAAATTATTTTTTTTAAACAACACATCCCAATTCTTTGAGCTGGATGTAAGCTGTTTGTCCACCTTGGGGAGAAACTGAAGATTAACTTCTCCCTGCCCACACGCCTGGCAAGGAGGGTGCTGGCACACTAAAGCATCATTTCTGGTGCAGATGAGCACTGAGGTGTGATTATTTGGCCTGCAGCTTCCAGAGCTTCCACTAGAGCTGGGTGAGGGCCTGACTCTGCAGGCTGTGTCCCCCAGCTGACAGTGCCAGTACCCAGGTGGGGTGCCCATGAGCACGGTGTGCTCAGGTTCAGCCCCTTCCTCCTGTGGTAGGGCACAGGGGGTGCAGGTGTGGCAGACTGGCTCTAGCCTTTCCTTGGACACCTCTTGTTCCCCCAGCTGCTGTGTCCCCATCTTGAAGCACTCTTGCTCTTTCCTCATGCTGCTGTTCTGCAGTGGGTGCCCTGGCACAGAATCTGTGCTGTGCCACTCATGCCTCCTGTGTAATTCCAGCTGTGCCTCAATGTGCATCCTCCACCTTTGTGTGGGTTGAGTTTTTGCTTTTGTTCACCCCCCATGTCCCTTGTGCAGGTGGCAGAGGCTGTGGGTACCCTGATCATCAGGGCAAGCCTGTCCAGGCAGGCAGGGATGCCCAAGGAGTAGCCTTAAAGCCTGTATGCTTGGTCAGGGGGCTGGGCTGGGTCCAGTTTGCACTCTTTTTAGAGATGGGATGCTGCAGTATGAGGGCTTTGTGTTGCACTGGAGGTTGAGTTGTGGGATCTGAAATGCCCAGAATGTCAGGGGGTTTTACTCTTGGGGTAGACAGCTAGGAAGGATATGCCAGGCATGTCCAGTCATACACAATACATTGATTTACTGACAGGTTGCATAAGAGTGATGAGATAATGCAGGCTCAAATCCTTTAACATCTCCTAAAAAGTTCCTGTATTGCTGCAATGAAAAGATAATTTAGAGTGTAAGAGTGGTGATTATGCAAATAAACCTCTAATTGTGATTTTAAGAAGCAACTCACTTGACTGTAGTTTTCCTGGATTTAGGGACTGAAATCTTTCCAGTTGTATGGTGGTTTTTTTGGTGCCAAGCTGAGGTTTGAGATAAAATGCTAAACAGAACTTAAAGCTGGAAAGGCTAATCAATATTTCATGTTAGTATTAAATATACATGAAATATTGTGGTTACCTTCTCAATGATGGAACTGTGGGAACAGAATAGTGGTGGCTTTTGAAGGGCTGGCAGCTGTTCTGAGGCCAAAAGGGGTCCATCTGTGTAAATTTTGGATGTTCTTACTTCCAGCTAAAGCAGATGTAGGGAGGGGGGCTGGGTCTGGAGGCTGCTATTTAAATCAGAAAAGAAGCAGTCAGGACAAATCTGAGCTGTCAGGCTCTGTCATGGCTCCCCTTCAGTCAGGGTTGTGATGAGGCCTTTTTTAACAGAATAATACTTCCATATATACATGAGGTAAAAATCTTGTAATACAATAAATATCCCTTCTTCCAAGTTTTCCATAATGTGTTGCTTTTTCTTTCAGAGGGACAGTCTGTCACTAGAACCCAGTATAACAACATGTTGGTTTTTTTTTTTTTAAGGAACTCTTTATTGTGGTAATTGTACTGCAAGAACAGAGCTCCTCCTCTCTTCATTAGTCAGTAAAATGTAGAAGAATCTGAAGGCTGAGCAGCTTTTTATACAAGGCTGCCACAAAGCCATCCTCAAAATGTCTGGTGCTGCTGTTGCTTTCACCTGCTGAAGCAAGGTGGGCTTAGCAGGCTCGATTCTTGTAAGGACAATTCACATGGCTTGTGGCAGAGCAAGCACCTGTGCCATTCTCCACTTACACAACCTAGAGTTCATGCTTCTCCCCTGCCCCTCCATGGATCTTCTCCACAGGCTGTGGTCCTTCAGGGAGAAGTCTGCTCCACCACGGTCTTGCTGGGGGCTGCAGGGGCACCTGGAGCTCCTCCTCCACCTCTGACCTGGGTGATCCTTTCTCACACATTGTCCCCCACACTCTGCAGTTTTTCCCCCTCTGTCTGTTGTTACCCCCAGTGCCAGTGAGGGGCTCAGCCGTGCCCTGTGGTGGGGTTGTCCTGGAACTGGTTGGAATTTGCTGTGTCAGGCACGGGGCAACCCCGACCTCTCCTCACAGAGATTCCCAACAATGTGCACAGGCACCTCATATACCAAGTGTGTGAGCATCTTTCAAACTGCCCCACCACCCTTGCCTGCAGCAGTTGGGTGCTGGATATCCTGGGATACAGAGGAAAGGCTGGAGGCGCTGTGGTAGGTGAGGGGGAATGGCTGGTGATGGAGGAGCTGCCATGGCCGTGGGGCACCGGGCAGGAGCTGGCCCGGGGTGCAGCTGGAGCCCAGCTGGTGGGAGAGGCACTCCGTGAGGGCACATGGCTGTGCAGCAGGGGGCTGGGTCCCAGCTGTGTGGAAAAGGAGGCTTCCATTACTGCACTCCCATAAACATGGGGAATTAATATTGTCCTCTGCTTTCACAAACTGAAGAGCAAGAATTTAAGCTTGGTGTTTGCCTTAACTGCAGCTATCATTAAGTGAATTAAACTAAGAGTTAGATACATAATTGGTATTTCTGTTACCACAAAGTACAGCCATTCTCTTTTCAAATACATTAAACCATAAGAAACTGCTTTATACCAGCTAAAGCTTCGTAATACATTTATGTGTTATTGGAAGCATAATTCACAAGCAGTGTGTTATTAAAACCTTACCAGCTTCCAGTTTAAATCTTTGTACAGTGATTTAACACCCTTCTCATTTCTTTATGTGACATTTTCACAATAATTAAACATGAATGTGTCCTCAGAGTCTGTACCCACACGTCCTGTGAGTGCAGGAAAGGCAGCAACAGTCCTGTTGATCTCAGATGCTGTAATAAGATTGTGTCCAGGAATTAGATCTTCATATCCAGAGTTGCTCTGAATAGATGAAACAAATACTACTCTTAAGTGATGGGAATAGAGTACATTATAGCTTATGTTATGAATGCTAATAATGTAATTTTTCTCACAGATATTAAAAGTTTCTCATTTTGTATTATACCACTCTGTGACATGCAATTGTCTTCTGCTGTTAAATCTAAGCAGCTCTATTATTAGCCTGAGAAAAGACCTGAATTGCTAGAGATTGCATTTAGATGTGTAAAATCTCTATTTCGTTACTTCCTGTATAATTATTTTATGCTTGTTTCTATTACAGATTATAAAGATGTCGGATGGAATTTTTTAACTAAACTACTGACTAGGATATAATGTATGAAATATGGTTGTAAAAGCAAAATAAGTTGATAAAAAAATCTAAGAGTGAAGTTTTTCACTTATAATTATTGAATAGTGCACTAGCTGAATTTTAATTTATTTTTTTTTTTTAATTTGGTATGGTGTTGATGCAGAGGGCTGTCAGATGTGACAGAGAACCTATGAGAACCCTTCTGGGATGGCAGCTGGGTAGGCACCAGCAGCATCCAAACTGGTACCATGTGCCCATGTGTGGGCAACCAGATTAAGCCTGCAGTGTTCTAAATGTAACTGTAACACTTTTTTTACTAAATTGTTTATTACAGTCCCTTTGCAAGAAGGTAGAACTATGATAAAGATGCCTCTGACAGAAATTTGGCTAAACCCCCCCAAATCACCAAAATAGTCTAACCAAAAAACCCCCAAACTATTTCTGGCCATCAGTGAAGAGTAGTTTTACTGTCAACAGAAACTAGGGCTAGAGGGAACCTCAAGCACAAGACTGCACTCTGCAGGTTTTTTTCCTGCAGCAGGAGGCCTCAATGAACACAGTATTCATCACTGTACCGAGTGGTGACAACTCCAAGTAGTGTGCTGATTTAGAGTAGTTCCCAAGCATATTTGCAGATTCAATATGCATATGGGCCTTTGGGATGGGTAAGAGATCTAGGATGTTCCAAAAGTGCCTGAAAGAATCACAGAATCAAACAGGTTGGAAAAGACCTCTGAGATCATCAAGTCCAACCCTTGATCCAACCCCGCCGTGGTTCCCAGGCCATGGCACTGATGCCACATCCAGTCTCATCTTAAAAACATCCAGGGATGGTGAATCCACCACCTCCCTGGGTTATGGGCTGGTTATGTATTCTTAGATTTCATCCCAAACAAGTGGCAAAAGACACAAAAAAACCTTGATAAAACTCATCAAAAGGGAAGACTTAACAATTACTGTGGAGCTTAAATAGAGGAGAGGATTTTGCAAATGAATTAGATTCTGCAGTGGTCCCTTTCCTTCAAAATGATCTATTTTACTTTTACATTATGGAGCCCTCATTTATTTGCAGAGTCCATTTCTCCCCCTCTTTTCCTAAGGTGTGACTATGTTGTGAATAATTGATGCTTCTGTGTAGAAAAATATTTTCTTTATCATGTTGCAGTTTGGACTTCCACCAACCCATTAACTCAAAATAAACTCATAAGCATTCTACTGTCTGATCAGTGTCTGCATAGTGACATTTATCAGGAGAGAGAGAGACACAAGAAATAGTCAGCGACTGGAGATTCTTACAGACTGGAATAGTGACACTGTAATCTTGCTCGTTCCCTCCCTATACCTATCACTCCCTTTTCCAATCTCTATATTGTGTATGTGTCTATATTGTGTCTATATTTAGACACAACTAAAACGACTGTTAGTGTCTATATTGTGTCTATATTTAGACACAGCTAAAACGACTGTTAGAAGTGTCCCTTGACATGTGTTCAAATCCAAACCACAGGTATTAAAATTCACTTGAAAAAAAACAAACAACAACAACAACAACAAAAGACAATTTAAGCATTTTCTGGTTCCAGGACATACAACAGAAAAGACATCACCATTACTAAGCTCATTTCTGAGGTCAACAGATGGTCTTGCTACATTTAGAGTCCTTGGACGTTGTTTGCTCTGTTCTTTGTTACAGAAAACACCTTGGAAGTAGATTCAAAAGACTGTATCCAGTAGACATGATCTGAATTAGAAACAATAAAGGAGAGTCTGATGTTATCACACAGTATATTTCATGCATCCAGTCAGTGGCAGCAGCCCACAGATGCTTAGGCTAGAGATGCTTTAGTAAATAGAACAATTTGCAGCATTGTGTGAGCCATCAGCACAGCATAATAAAACTTCATGGAGGTATGTGGTTATACCTTTTCCTGAAAAAAGAAAAAAAATTTGAAAAGCACAAAATAACTTCTTATCTGCAAGAGTTCATTCACAACTGCCAGCTATGTATCATACAAGTGAAAGGAAGAGTTCTTTAAATGGGAACTTACAGAGGTACCATGGCACTTGAGTAATTAATGCTGTACCCTTGTATCAACTCTCTCTGCGTCTTGTTTAAAGGAAAAAATACCACACACTTTTTTCTTGTCATGGTTTTACACTGCCATCCAACACCTGACACACAAATGATCGATATTTAGCATCCCTCCCCACTCTGGTCACATCCACTGATGATCCATTCAGAGTAACTCCTTGCAATTATCATAACAAAGACTGGGGATAGACATGCATACATGGTACTAAAACTGAATAACCACAAAGTATTTCGCCCATGCATTCTCCAATTTTCTCTTCCATTTATGGATAATAACACTATTTGCAGAAAGGGCAGCAAAACTTTTCTCCGGGGATTTATTTATAACACACAGTCTTGCTTACTCAAATGTAAATAACGGGCACCGCGACCCGTCTGGAGCCAGGGTCTGGGCGTGTGCCCGCGCTGGAGCCCCCTGTAAGCAGGGCGGCAGCTTGTTTGGCTGTTGAATGGTTTAGGATACAGGATTCTCTTCCCTGAGGTTAAAAAGCCTTTTAATACATGGTATGTTCTCTGTGTGTTAGTACTTCTCTGCTACAATCAAGTTACCTTTCAAACTCTTTTTTCATAAGCTTAGTGAATTGCATTCATTTTGTCCTTCACAGTAGGGCTTTTTTTCAAGCATTCAGATAATCTTCGTGGCTTTCTTCTTACACCGCCTTCATTTCTTCCACTGTTAGAAACACTTGACACCTGACTTGTAAGCAATAGTCTAGTACTGGCTTCATTAAAAAATTGCCTTCCTATTCCTACACACTGCCTTCCTGAATAGATTTTAAAAGTCTTCTTAATCCTGTTTACCTCACACACACAACGCACACAACAGTGTGTTGACTCAGTTGTTCAACATGATTTATAAGCACTTTTCAAAGTTGCTGTTTTCAAGGATACTGTCCTCCCCTCCATACTTAAAAATTTTATTTTTTAGACATACAGCTCTTCATGTGAATATATTAAAACAGCAGCTAACTGCACGGGTTTATTCTCTTTACCAAACTATCCATGTTACTCTATGTGACTTCAGCATCATTGTCTGTCATGCTGTCAAATTTCTGTGTCATCTGCATATTTTGTCTATGGTGATTTTATATTTAAATCCAGGGGATGCATAAAACTGGCATCACTTTTCTTTGAGTGCTTTCCTTTGGAAGACACAATTTTAAACAGCCTCACTGGATGATTATTTCTCACTGGCAATATTTTTCTAACCCATCAGTTCCAGACTGTATGTGCTACAGTGCCAGCTATTTTAAATGAGCAGTAGCATATTGAGCTCACTGGATTAACAAGCTAACAGTTAAAGCATATGATATTTCCACAGTAGGATTACATCTGTAATCTCTCAAAGAGTTAAATTAGGCCTATTTTCTATAAATTACTTGTATTAATTTAATTCTTCATCACTGAAATCCTTTGCCTTTTTCCTCTATTGCACCTGGATCATGTCAGGTTAACAGGCCCTTTAACCACAAGTCCTTCATAAATAGTCCTAAGTTATTCACAGGCTTCATGCTTCTGTAATTTCCTGAGCATTCCAAAATTCATCTCAAAAAGCTAGTTAGTGTGTGTGAAGTGCCTCAGCCAAATGTGGGGGGTTTTTAAGGACTTTCAAGTGTGAATGATCCCAACTTGATCATTCAAAAAAGAATTATTCCAGGAAAGTGGGTGCCATCTGTGTCCCCGGGGGGGAGGTGGGTACCTTGTGTACGCCTGAGGGGCTGTGTGACTCACTGAGAGGGACCTGAGCATCCCTTGTATCACTGAGGAGGGGTGGGTGTTCTGTGTGTCTCTGAGGGGGAAGAGGGTGCCCCGAGGGCTATGCGGGTGTCTCCTCTGTCCCTTTAGGGGCTGTGAGGGACACAGGGGGAAAAGGGTGCTCTGGAGGGTCACCGAGGATCCCT